AATCTCCCTAATGGGTCACACGTGAAAAAAAAAAAAAAAAACTAAGAGGGGTTGTACTCTCCCTTACTCTTCACAAAATAGTCAAGAAAAGTTTTGCCCTTAGTTGTACTTTAAATTTTCTCTTTTTTTTTAGCCTTATTAATAGATTTGGGTGCACTTTACCTTTCAGAGCTCATCTGTGTCTCCATCTGCAAGTTTCAGAGCAGCAGAGAAGCACAGAAATTCCGCAGACTATTCTTCAGACAGCAAAAAGCAAAAGACTGAAGAAAAAGATATAGCAGCTCGTTACGTAAGTACATGAAGATAGCTGACGCCGTATTCATGGTAACAGAAGTACAAAGTAAAGTAACCTCACACCTATTACAGTAATCCTGTGTTATATTTGTGTGTTTGTTTCCTTTGTGTGTTGTATTTAAGGTTCCTGGTTGAACGTGACTGGTGACCATACATCTTATCGCTGAGAAGCAAATATGCTTTAAGGATCATAAAGAAGCATAAATATTTCCTAAGGGTGTATTTGGTTAGACTAGATGTAGTCAGGTGTTTGTTTAGTGAGATGTTAGTAAAGTTCATGTGGGTTATCTGTTTACTTTGTCATCAATATGTTGTGTGGAACATTTGTTACCTTGAACACTTTTTTTTTTTTTTTTTTTTTTTTTTTAACTGCAGGATTTCTTTACATCAATTGAGCTGCAAAAATATTCTGTTTATTAATTGCTTTAATTTCATTTAATGAAACAAATAGAAGTGTTTATTTTGGGTCACTGCACTTCATCGACATTAATGTATCTGTTGTTTCATGCCTCAGAGAGGGTGTTAAAGTGAACTCACAGATTAGGATAATGGTTAATGCACATGAAAAAAGGACATTTATATGACTAGCATAAATCTTCATGCACTTTCCTGTGGTCGGGAAGCCGCACATGCATAAAAAGTGGCTGTATGCGACTTACTCTGTAAATGCCCATGCTTTATTGCACAGGCATTTTCCCGAGCATCCACTGTATTTCAAGAGTGCAATATATTACAAGAGTTCGGCCTCATACAGCAATCCACTTGTATGGCAGGCTGCATGTGGTACGTGTGGCTGTCTGGGCACAGGAAAGCATCGGGATGTTTTACAGTAGGCTTATAAATGCCTATTTTAGTTTGTGTGCATCATGAACCTTAATTTACACTGAGCGATTGATATCACAAAATTCATAATGTAAAAAGGCAAAATGTTGGATCCAGGCTTGCTATGTTTCTAAAGTACAAAATATAATTGGCTATTGATATTAACAAATAATACTGTAAAATGTTGATCAGTGGAGGGTATTCAATTTGTCATAGAGGATCAGAAAGAATTTTTCTCCTGTTGAACCATTTGGGTCACTCACATTTTTTGTCTTCTTCTGGGTCAACTACAGCTTTAGGGTTCTGAGAATGCCATTTTTCCCTTTATTCATTTTTGTCTTTTGGTAGAACTTGATAGAAATGTGTAATCTTTTTCAACACAATGTTCTATCTAGACAGCTGATGTTGTATGCAAATCAGTACTATTCCAGCAAACATTTGGGGAGACCTCTCCCAAACACATTCACCCATCTCCTTCTAAAGTGATCAGTTGCTTCAATGGCCAGTAGGGTCAGACGTTGGCATCAGAATTTAAAAAAAAAAAATAGTTGTGACTTTTATACAACTTCAGCTGTCTTTGTGTATCTGCTGATCATTTTGACAAGAAGGTAGCTTCTGCCCATGTATATTTTGCCATGAATTTAGGTTGTATTGCCCAGGTTTGTGGGAGGTTTAATTAAACGCCTGGGATAATAAGTCTGTAGCCACAGGTGCTGGATATGCTTCCAAGTCTTCTGCATATGTATTTTAAGCCTTATGCTCCGGCAGTATGCAATTATACTTGACTGTTATTCCAATGTAAGCAATCCTTCAAGTGTAGAAAGGCTGTTGGTATAGCTATGAGCAGTCCAGCCTTCTAAATACCTGAAGAGCATGCTTAAACCATTGTGACACCCAGTGGATGTGCAGCAATGTCTGTGCTTGCATAGCTGCCCTTAAGTTTTGGCAAGTCATTAAGCAATCAAACATATTCCCAGAGATTTGAGACTTCAACAAATATGGCCCCCATTCTCATAGGAGCTTAAAATATTCCTTTTAGCAGTTTGCAGCATATAGACATCTATATACAGATTGTGCTTTGTACAGCAGGCACATGTGCATTCTTGTTTTGAAACCAGTTCTTCTTTTGCCATGTGGATACATATGCACATAAATGATGGCTTTGCAAACCTTTCCATTGTCTTCTCTCACAGTGTACAGTACTGTGCATCTTTCACAGTCAATAACAGAACATAACTATGATTGCAGCCCAGCTGTTGATCACCTTGGACAGGGAATGACCCTCTGTGTTTTGTCCGAATACCATTGTGATATTCAAATCCATCTCTGTTTGTCTATTTAGCAAATAGGTCAGCAGGGCTTCAGAGCACTTTGCAGTACTAAAATGGGATTAAAAATGACAAATCACAAAGACCTAAATAACCCTGGTCATATGAAATAGTTGGTATGCCTTGAGAGACTGATTTTTAGCTAGATTTGTCTGTCTAGAGGCATTTAAATTTTTTATTCAGTTACTAAACGTTTGCATAAACTTTGACTAGCCTCCCCTTTTGTAACAGTGCATTTTACATGTGTTTTCTTCTCTGTGCAGGACAGTGATGGTGAAAAGAGTGATGACAACCTGGTGGTGGATGTTTCCAATGAGGTGTGCATTCTACTTTGGTTTTGTTAGTGTATATTTCAGAGTTCATAGCCATTCTTGTGTTTAGAACTTTACACAGACCTTATACTCCTTTACATAGTAGTGTACTTAAATCATTTTTGTTTTAAACATTGAAGGACCCCTCTTCTCCCAGAGGGAGCCCAGCACATTCTCCGAGGGAAAATGGTTTGGATAAAGCTCGGCTTTTAAAGAAAGACCCTCCAATCAGTCCAGCATCTATTGCATCCTCAAGCAGTACTCCCTCATCGAAGTCCAAAGAACTCAGCCTGGTAAGACAAGATTTATGTAAAGCCTGTCTGTTAGGTGTTCTGTATGGCTTGGCTAAAATGTTTTTGTTGTATGACCACCCGGCACCACGCTGACCAGCTTCCCTGTCCCTGCTGAAGAAGAGCATCTCCACAACATGATGCTGCCCCCACCATGTTTCATGGTGGGGATGGTGTGTTCAGGGTGATGCGCAGCATTAGTTTTCCGCAAACTGTAAATGGGACTTCTTATGGCTTTCTTTCAACAATGGCTTTTCTTCTTGTCACTCTTCCATAAAGGCCAGATTTGTGGAGTACACAACTAATAGTTGTCCCGTGGACAGATTCTCCCACCTAAGCTGTGGATCTCTGCAGCTCCTCCAGGGTTAGCATGAGCCTCTTGGCTGCTTCTCTTATTAATATTCTCCTTGCCCGGCCTGTCAATTTAGATGGACGGCCATGTTTTGGTTGGTTTGCAGTTGTGCCATATTCTTTCCATTTTCGGATGATGGATTGGACAGTGGTCCATGTGATGTTCAACGATTTGGATATTTTTTTATAACGTAACCCTGCTTTAAAGTTCTCCACAACCTTATCCCTGACCTGTCTGGTGTGTTCTTTGGCCTTCATGATGCTGTTTGTTCACTAATGTTCTCTTAACAAACCTCTGAGGGCTTCACAGAACAGCTGCATTTATACTGAAATTAAATTGCACACAGGTGAACTCTATTTTGAATTAGATGACTTCTGAAGACAATTGGTTCCACTAGATATTAGTTAGGGGTATCGGAGTAAAGGGGGCTGAATACAAATGCACACCACACTTTTCAGATATTTATTTGTAAAACATTTTGAAAACATCTATCAACTTCCATCCACTTCACAATTATGTGCTACTTTGTGTTGGTCTATCACATAAAATCCCAATAAAATACATTTACGTTTTTGGTTGTAACATGACAAAATGTGGAAAATTTCAAGGGGGTATGAATACTTTTTTCAAGGCACTGTATCTTCCTTCCCATTATACTTCAATGAACTACAGCACACTTTCCCTCATGTTATGGAGGGTGGGGATGTGTTACGTAGTTAAAACATACTTCCTTCCTAGGGTGGCATCACTGCTTCCTCCATAGATACTTTACGGTTAGTGAGTGTTGAGTGTAGCCATAAGGTAGAAAATATTTTACTGGTAGGATCAGCAAGTGAATATAAAGGAAACCTAGCTTGAAGAAAAAAAAAAAAAAAACAAATGCAGCCAGCCACCTCCTCTATGGACTGGTAAGTTGCATATTACATTTTGTTCTTGGGTTTAGAAACAATTTAAGGAGTGGAAAAGGTTATATTTGCAAAGTGGGCATTTTAGAATGAGATTTGTAACTATTAGCTATTTTTACAGTGATGCATATTTTCATTCAATAAGAGTATGTAGCCCATAACCATATTTATTGTAATTGGGTGCATGAGATAATAATATTTGTATATAAATAACGGGGTCCAGAAATAATTGGAATATTGAAACCTGGTAGAAATGTTCTCCTTAAACATTGTAGCAAGCTTTGTTCCACTGCACAGCTTATTCCTTACAGGCGTGTTTCCATTCATGCTGCTCTGGTTACATAGGTCTGCTGTACACTCCTATGTTATGAATAGATACTTGAAAGATATGACTGTGAAAGCACATATGTTATGACTCTTCCATTAGGGATGTTGACTTTAGCAGGGTGACTATTTGAGGTTTGCTGTAGAGTAAACCATAGAGTCAATAAGCTGTTTACTTTTGGAAGGATTCAAGTCATTTAGCATGTTGTATCCTTTCGTTCAGCTAGAGATTCATTTTGCTGGTGCCTGTGTGGAGCTGATGTAACTCTTACATGTTTTTATTATGCAAAGACAAGCATGTTTGTAGACAGGAATTTGGATTGATTTATCTATTTTACCCTTCTTATTTCACCTTTCATTCACCTCCTGGAAGAATGAGAAGTCCACAACTCCTGTTTCCAAATCTAACACGCCCCACTCCGCGAACTGATGCACCCACACCTGGCAGCAATTCGACTGGACTGCGGCCTGTTCCTGGCAAGCCTCCGGGTGTCGATCCATTAAGTAAGATGCACCCCATTTATGCTTTGTCAAAATGTTCTTTACTATGCTGATGATGAATTGACGTCACAAAAGTGTAAAGTTGTCTCCTAAATATGGGATTCCTAGAATGCATAGTCCATCTAAAACTGATCTTAACATAGCATGGTTATCTAACTGTTTAGAGTTGGCACAGTAAAAGGTGTTCATGCAAAAATGTTGCTGAATGGTTTTCAAGCTGTAGGATAAAAATTTACGGGGTTCTAAAGGCTCATTTGCATGGCCAATGACTGATGTATATCTCCATGATCGCCATATTTCTACATTGGGTATGGGAAGGGGTTTCCAATCAATTGTGGACTGGAAATCTGTACAAATCGATGACAATCTGCTGCTGTTTGCATGTAATTGCACCTATGAGTGATAACCTGAAACTAGGGATGGATGTCCACCCCTGTACCTAGCTGTCTGTGTCCATGGGCACACATCTATCTTAACTGTAGGTAATCACTCCATGTGAGATTACATGTGAACCACTGCGGACAGTAGCAGCCTGTCACTGATTTGTACAGGCTTTCTGTCCATAGCTGAATATACATGCCTGGCCATACCTACAGCAGAAATACTTTTGCATGGGTGGTGAATGGCCCAAATGCACTGTGTGCATGAGCCCTAACTGAAGGTCCAACTTAAATATTAGAACTCTCAATTACAAAAATTTGCCTATGGGATTTTAGAGAGACTGCACTACTTAATCAACACCGAGTCAAAAAAAAATTCTAAAAAAACTAATTTTTTTATTCATATACAAATATAATTAAAAACATATTACCAAAAGGCACATCAAAATATGATGGCTAGTTGCATGATAGTGTATACACATAACAGGCTAGACAAACGATATCCTGACACTCGACTCAGGAGACCGTGATCTTCCATGGGATATCAAACCAGATACAGACTGTATAAATCGAATTCAAACATTCTTTTGTGACAAACCATTGAAATGCAATGGAGAAAATGACATGAGGCACACTCAGTCTGGGAGTTGTACAGAGAGCAGGGAGACACAAAACAAGCAAATAAAAATGGCCACCTCCCCAAGTCTATAACTGGCTTATGAAACAAGGACACATAAACAGGCATCACATAGTGAATAAAGGGGAGAGAACAATGTTCTTGGACAACTTGCCAGCCAGCTTGCTAACAACCGAATTAACCTGTCTAACAGTATACGTTTATAACAGGGGTTTAGTTAGCACACGTTTACAAATACATACGTAAGCCACAGAGCCACGTCACAGCACCCTGATAATCTGTGGTCCTAACTCTACAATTTGAGAGTCCCCATAGTAGAGGCATATGCATTTAATGGATAGATCACAAGGGCCACACTTCTGGAAAATTGGGACGAGTTGTCAGGTATGTAATAGATGTCTGGAATAGACATAAACTTCTATAGTCTGGCCTCAAAGATCCACCGTGTACACAGCCCCTGCTCAGTAATAGGAGTTGAGAGGCTTAAATATTACTCATTTTTTATAATACATAGCTAATAACGGATTGGGTGCATTTTTCCGGTTCTCCTAAAGATATCTATAAAATGTGCTATCCTTATGAAAGCTCATTTTTTAATTTTAGGAAGCTAGTTAATATAACAAATACATGTTGAAAATACAATCTAAACAATAAGGCCGGTATACTGTATCTAATGACCTTTCTTCTACTTTACGTTCAGAGAAATATTAAAGTGTTACTAAACCCACAACAGTAAAATCAGTCTGTATATGGAGTAAAGCATGCTTGTTATACTCACTGTGGAACCTAAGCGGTTAATCCTCTGCATTGTGTTAAAAGGCTGTTTGATCCTGACTTTTTTCTTAGTTCCTCTCCTTTTTAAAGCAACCACCTCTTATCTCCTGATAAGACAGACTGAACCGTAGGTATTTGCACATGCTCAGTTTGGTGTGTATGGCTAGAGAGGGTTTTTTTTTTTTTTTGCCAAATGTGTGCATGTGATCAGCACAGGGCCAATCGGCACTGGTCAGACAGAGGTCAGGGGTTTTGCATCCTTCTAGAGCAAAAAGAAATCCCCTACAAGCTTTAGCTAGTTCTGGGGCTGGACATTGATAGAAGTCACAAGCGAAAGGTAAAGAGAAAAGTATTTAGCAGTTTATATTTACTGAAATAATTGCACTTCCATGTTCTGTGTACTGTGGGAGACCAGATATAATGGATGCAGGGTCCCATAGTTAAAAAAAAGTGTAACAATACATTTGTGCATAAATGAAACATTAGCGAAGGGATTTAGATGCTGCCATTTCTGATTTCTTCTGAAAATGCCTGGCCTGCTGGCTAAGCCAGTGGATTCCATACTTCAATCTTCTGATTCGGAAAAGGTGCACAGATCTGACCTCTTTCTATGTGCTTAGTTTGAGCTTGCCCCTCAAAATAATGACGCTAAGGCCAACCAGGTGACCAGCATTTTCAAAAGGAAGCCAGCCATTGCAAGCTATATACTGTATTTCTCCTTGTTATATTTCATTTAGTTTTGCTTACTGAATCTCATGTTTTAATATACTTTGTCACCAATGAGCCTTTTACATGTCATAGGAAGTGTACACAAGCAGTGAGTGTTCCTGCTGAAGTTCCTGGTCTTCGCCACTCCTCCTGCTGCACAGTCTGTAATGTAAAATAAAATAAAGAAGCTAGTCTGACCTTTTTAAAATAGTCACAGCAGGTTGGTGAAGCAAAGATCTCGTTTGGAAAGCAATGCTGCCAGAAACCTGTACAGCTTTGGAAAACTGGGGTGCTACTATTACACCAGCTTTTCTTACATTGCTGACACATTGATTTTGAGAGAGATACATCTTTAAAATCCATATTTATATTATGATAATAAAATAGTAAAATTAAAAAGGTGTAATAAAGTATTCAAGTAAACAAGTATTTAGATAAATCTGTTTAAGGTTTTAAAAACATAATGATCTGGAATAAATATGTCCTTTTTTGTTGGTACGTCACTGTTCTAATGTATTCCATTTTCGTTTCTATTTATTGCAGCTGGCCTTAGGGCCCCCATGGCAGTCCCATGTCCTTATCCAACACCATTTGGAATAGTGCCACATGCTGGTATGAATGGGGAGCTGACAAGTCCAGGAGCAGCTTATGCCAGTCTTCACAACATCTCCCCGCAGATGAGTGCGGCAGCTGCGGCAGCTGCAGCAGCCGCAGCTTATGGACGATCCCCAGTGGTAAGAGCCTTGTATGCTGCTAGTATTAGCACTTCTTCTTGTACCTTGCAATTAGTATATTAAATGTCAAATGTGGTGTTTACAAGTACAGCATTTGCTCTACAGTTTCTAATATAAAAATATTGTGAATGATTTAAAACATTTTGTTTTTATGTGAACATCAGATGTCTGTCTAATGTTGTAACATACAAATACTTTTTTTTCCCCCCTTGCATTAGGTTGCTTCTTTACTCCATGTGGTCTGTTGTACACCTATAGTAGATCTACCTGACTAAACCATTTTTTAAAGTTACTTTTTCATTTTTAATAACAATTTAACTTAAAAATTAAGGAAATAATTCTTGCTTCATTCTTTTCAAAATTCACAGTAAAGTGAGCACAGATGAAATCTGTATGAAATGTTGCACTTGAATATCTAACGTTAATACCAGATACAATTGCCCAATAGAAGTGTATCTTCATAAACCTTTTGGGTTATCTTTTTTGCTTGGGAGCACCTGGTTAGCTAGTAAGCATTTTGCCTGGGCACTATGTCAGATCCATAAGGAACTGAGCAGCTGTCCAAGTGCTTGTATGCTACACTTGTGCTCCTGGTTTACTATAAATCAAAAGAATGCTCTTTACATGTGTCCATACGTTTTTGAAGAATGTGCTAGTTTACTAAAGAATGTTTGATGCATTGAAAAGTAATATATTTTTTTTCTATGACAAAAAAAAGACTGTGTGCATCAGGATAGTTCCCATACACTGACAACATTAGCTGCATTGTAATTTGTTTCTTTCCAGATGCAAAGTAAAAGGTGATCTGATGAGAAACAAGTTATATTTGCAAGAGTTAGGCCGGCCACAGATTACGCAGTTTTTTCTTTCCTTCCACCGTGGGTGAAAGGAAGTCTTCCCTGTCGGCAGAACATGATTAAGCTGGTTGTAAAGGCTCAAGATTTTTTACCTTCATGTTTTATGCATGAAGGAAAAAAAATATTCTCTGTGCAGCATCCCCCCCAGCCCCCCTAATACTCACCCAAGCCCCCTCTCGATCCAGCGATGTGCACTGGAGTCTCGGCAATCCCAGGACTCCCTCTCATTGGCAGAGACAGCAGCAAGAGCCATTGGCATTGAGCCAATGAGAAGAGAGAAGGTGGGGCTGAGCTGCAGCTCTGTGTGTGAATGGACACACACAGCTGCATGCTGTGGGGGCACCCGGCAGGAGTGGGGAGCCTGGAACGCTGTTGGGGGACACCGGAAGAGGAGGATCTAGGCTGCAGAGAGCAGGTAAGTATGAAGTGTTTGTTTTTTTTTAATAAAAAAAAAATTAAGCCTTTAATATCACTTTAATGTTGCTGGCGTAGCCAGTGGTACTAATAGCTTGGGCAAAAAACCCAACGTGTTGATAGTACACAAGTTGATTGATTGACTTGTGTACAACCAGAGTGCCCATACATGGATCGAAATTTGTCCGGTCCCTGCTGAACCAGCCAAATGTTATTTATTTTTTGTTTTTTGGACCTGATCGGACTCGGAGTTAGGCGGGTAGAATCTGACACAACTGGAAAGCTATGAAAGGTGTTACTAAGAACAGCAACACTAAAATAGAGGCTAGAAAATTCAGTAGTCCACTAATTCACTGATTAGCAGTGTGGGTCAGGTACCCAAACAAAATAGATGAAAAATACCTAGGAAAGAAACCTAGAAAACGAAGGAATTATCAACGATCCAAGTAGTGTGACTAAAAATGATTCTTTATTAGTACATGATACAGCTTTGAAAAAATACAACATTACACGGCATATTAAAAGATAAGCCAAGTAGAATAATCTCTACCCAATACCTTAAAAAGTAATGACAATCTTGTCAGCGATGAAAGCAAAAAGTCCGGACAGGAAATGACTGCACAACGTAGCTCAAAAGTTACTGTTGGTAAAATTAGTCGGTGAGAGCTCCCCCACCCCAGCATAGGGGGTATTCAACAATAACCAGAATACATTTACACCTTCCTGTCCATAGCGCTCGGGACCATTGACCTTCTGATCTGGTCCAACTGAAAAATGGACAGGCTGACCTAATCGAAATGCCTGTGTGAATGGAGCCTTACGCATTTCCGTAAAATGTTAATGTTCACTTTGATTCAAGGTGCCTTTTTTAATTTTTGAAAAGAGCTGATGTTGCTATATTCACTGCATTGTTTCAGTCCATTGTCATATTCAAAGAGAACCTCTATTGTGGAAGTTGTGCCCAAAAAAGGCAAGTAGAGGATAAACTAGTTACTGGTATTGCTTCTGGCCCACTTGCAGCTGATCTTTTCCCCATTACTGATTTGCCATGTCTCATTCCATACGGTTTCTCTGTGCAGAGGTGACTATCTTGGTATTAAAGCATGGCTTTGCAGTGTTTTCCTTGCAGTGTGTATTTTTAAAGTGTGACAGGTATTTTCAGATCAGAATAAATGACTTCCAAATTACATAATTTGCCCATGCATATATAAGGTTCCTGTCCTATCTCATAACGTTATATTTGGTAACCCATCCTTGTTAAAACAATGTCTTTTCATTGCAAACATGAATTTTTCAATCCCTCCTGATCACTCATTAACTTTTGTGCTGAAAATCTTGTCCAGATGTTATGAGATTTTTGCATAAACTTATCGGGGTGTATAGTTTTCTATGGCATATTATTTCTTTAGGTATGGTCATCAAGAGAGGGCAGAGACCAAATGGATTTGTTATAATGACTGGATTTCCCAAAATTCTAACATCCCATCTCTGTTTACTGTCCCTCAGATTAAAGTGATTCTAAAGGCATATTTTTTAATAGAAAAAATAACAAACATGTCTATACTTACCTGCTCAAAAACATGTCTGTACTTACCTGCTCAGGGCAGTGGTTTTGTACAGAGCAGCCCGGATCCTCCTCTTCCGGTGTCCCCCACCAACGCTCCAGGCTCTTCCCTCCTGTTGGATGCCTCCACAGCAAGCAGCTTACAATGGGGGCGTACGCTGCTTTGGGTGTCAATTTACATATGGAGTCGCAGCTCAGCCCCACCCCCCTCTCTTCTCATTGGCTCACTGGCTGTGATTGGCAGCAGTGGGAACCAATGGCTCCCGCTTCTGTCTCAGCCAATGTGCAGAGGGAGTCCTGGGATAGCCGAGACTCCAGTGCACATCACTGGATGAAGAGGGGGCTTAGGTGACTATGGGGGGGGGGGGGGAGGGGATGCTGAACACAGATGGCTTTTTATAGAATGCATGAAAGTAAAATCCTTAAACCTTTAGAACCACTTTAGGTTTAGAATGCAGGCATCCGCAGCAATGTCTTCACTTTGTCAAAATGCTTTTAGGTCTTTAAAGGAATGCTACTTTATGCAGAGTTTTATCAGAGAACCTTATATAATTATAGTTGGCAGCCCCCCTGACCCCCCCCCCCCCCCCTCATAAAATGTCCCCATAATATTGGTTTTCGGTTTGACCGCTTCCCCTCAGCCCTATAGCAGAAGTACGTAAACTGATAATTTACATGTATTGGGATTTTTTATTTTAGCAAAAACATGTAGCAGAATATATTTTTGCCTAAATTTATGACTAAATTTGATTAAAAAAAAAATAAAAAAATTACTAGATCTGTTTTATAGCAAAAAGTCAAAAATATTTTTTTTTTCAAAACTCATCAGTCTTTTTTTTGTTTATAGCGCAAAAAATAAAAAATGCACAGGTGATCAAATACTACCAAAAGAAAGCTCTATATATGGGGGAAAAAAGGACATAAATTTCATTTATGTACAGTGTTGTCTGAACACACAATTGTCAGTTAAAGTAACGCAGCACTGTATTGCAAAAAATGGCCTGGTGAGGAAAGGGGGGGTAAATCCTCTGGAGGGCAAGCGGTTAAAATTGAAAGTTTAATGTTGGAGGCATAGTACAGTGATGGCCGACTAGAACGCAGGCCATACAGACTGTACAAAGGTATATTGTTTGTTTTGGGGGTTTTTTTTTTTTTTTTGGTTTTTTTTGTTTTGTTTTTTTTTGTATTTTTGACAACAGAATAACTTGGACACTAGCTACATTTGTTAAGGCATAACACTACCCGACATCTGCTATTTGTCCAACCCAGCAGAGTACTGTGTTGTAGGTCAATCACAGATACGCATAATTGTTTTGAAATTTGTGTTTTCTGTCAAGGTAATTCTTTATTTTCACTAAATGTCTAGGTTGGCTTTGATCCACATCACCATATGCGGGTTCCAGGAATTCCTCCAAATCTGACAGGCATCCCAGGTGGAAAACCGTAAGTAGTTTTCAGTTACCTCTCCGCTTATATTGTATTCCCTATTTCCTTTTGTAAGTTTAATTAAAAATATTGTATTCACTATAATTTCTTTTGTAAATAAAATTTAAAATAAAATGCTCAAAATGGATTTTTGAATGCAACTATTTTTGGTTGAGCGGTTTTAGATCCGTCTGCCTAGAGAAGGAAGTGTGTGTGTACAGTGGATATGAAGTCTATCAAAATGTCAGGTTTCTGTGATGTAAAAAAATGAGACACAGATAAATCATTTCAGAACTCTTTCCACCTTTAATGTGACCTATAAACTCTACAACTCAATTGAAAAACTGAAATTTTTTTTTTTGGGGGGGGGGGGGGGGGGTAAACATATAATGCGGTTGCATAAGTTTGCACACCCTCTTATAACTGGGGATGTAGCTGTGTTCAGAGTTAAGCAATCACATTCAAAATCATGTTAGATAGAGGCACTTTAAATGATGGCAGATGTGTGCAGACTCCTGATTAACCCCAAATAAAGGGCAGCTGTTCTAGTAGATCTTTTCTGACATTTTCTTAGTCGCATCCTACAGCAAAAGCCATGGTCTGCAGAAAACTTCCAAAGCATCAGAAGGATATTATTTTTAAAAGCTATCAGTGAGGAGAAGGGTACAAAAGAATTTCCAAGGCATTAGATATACCATGGAACACAGTGAAGACAGTCATCATCAAGTGACATTACCAAGAACTGGACGTCCCTCCAAAATTGGTGAAAAGACTAGAAGAAAACTGGTCTGGGAGGCTGCCAAGAGGTCTACAGCAACATTAAAGGAGCTGCAGGACTGTTTGTTGTCACATGTACCACACAGCCAGTACTTGCCAATCTCCTGTATTCTTCGTATGTCTGTGCTATGGTGTAGAGTGGCAAGACGGAAGCCTTTTCTTGTGAAGAAAAACATCCAAGCCCGGCTAAATTTTGCAAAAACACATCTTGGAAAATGTGTTATGGTCTGATGAAACCAAGCTTGAACTTTTTGGCCATAATTCCAAAAGATATGTTTGGCGCATAAACAACACTGCACATCACCAAAAGAACACCATACCCACCGTGAAGCATGGTGGTGGCAGCATCATGCTAGGGGCTGTTTTTCTTCAGTTGGAACTGGGGCCTTAGTCAAGGTAGAGGGAATTATGAACAGTTCCAAATAACAGTCAATATTGGCATAAAACCTTCAGGCTTCTGCTAGAAAGCATAATATTTTAGTTTTTTATTTTTACTTCCCTCCACCTAAAAGACTTCAGTTTGAGTACAACTGAGTTGTACAGTTTGTAGGTTACATTAAAGGTGCAAAAAGTTCTGAAATGATTTATCAGTCTAATTTTTTTACATCACAGAAACCTGACTTTTTAACAGGGGTGTGTAGACTTTTTATATCGTGTGTGTGTTGTGCGCATGTGCGCATGTGTGTCGTTGATACCAACACTTGCTGGCACCTGTTTTGTTTACACTTCAGCTATCAGCATGGGAACCATGGACCAGAGCATTTTTTACATTTATGCTATGGACCTGTTTATTTGGCAATAATATATATATAATTTTTTTTTTTTGTGAATATTGTCTTGTAACAATGGCATTTTTTTCACAATACTTAAATAATGTTAGTGCACATAAAAAGTGCACATTTTATTATATAATTTGTCCTGTTTAAAATGACACTAAAGTCATGATTCTGGTACAAAACATTGAAAAATTGTTTACAAATGAAAATTTTTTTTTTTTTTTTTTCAATCTTGCGCTTTTTTTCAATGCGAAACGTGTAAATGTATGTTAAAGCTGTAAAAAGATTAATAAACAAAGCAAACAAAAAAAAAGTTTTAATCTTTTTAGAAAATAGAGATAAACAAAAAAAAAAAAAACTTCAGGAAAGTAATTAAATGGAGGTAGAATAAGGAGTTAATTAGGGTTGATTAGAATATATTAAGTGTTAATAAGTTAACAGCAGAACATTTAATTGGAAAAAATAAAACTAACATAAAAACCTTTTTACTTGACATGTTGCTTTTAACTGACTTTATCTGCAGAGAAGTTCGTCCCTTTGATTTGTAGATAAACAGATACAAAATGAAACAACATTTCTTTCTATCTTTCAGTTTTAGAAGCTGAGCAATGTTGATGAAGGTAGTCAGGCTGCTTTTTTTTTTTTTTTTTTTTTTTCTGTTTTCTTTTACAGCTCCAATTGCCAACATGTTTACACTTCAGATGTCATCAGGGAAACCCCTCTGACAGCTAAATTAGTCATTGGTTGTTAAGGACGCAGCGGCCCCACTCCTTCACAACCAGGAATTGCCAGCTTCTTTTAAATTTACATTTCGGCTGTCAGCAGGATTCTCCCGCTAACAGCTGAAATGTACATTTTAAAAAATGCGTCAGTTACTGGTTGAAGAAAGACGGCAGTTACTGGTATCTGTACAATCTTAATATATAAATATAAAACTATATAGAGAGATATATAGATATAATTTTTAATTTTAGCGCTCTTAAAATGTGTTCTTGGTTTAGGGAAGCTTTAATTTGTTTCTTTTATGATGTGCCTTGTTTAAAGAATAATTGCTGTGGTAAACACGATGAATTGCTTATAAATCAAAACAAGAGCTGCTGTAAATGCTCAAGAGGGTCATGATGGTTAAAATATGATTAGGTAGGAATATATCATGAAAATATGAGGAGCTGTAATGAAGCACTGCTTCCTTATGAGAGCTTACAAAGGGGAAATGACAGTCAGAAAATCAATGATTTTTTTCTTTTTGCTGGACCTATTGGATATTGTCAATGGACATTCTGGCAGATTGCATATACTCATTTGGTAAATTTCAAAATAACTGGGGATACAAATTTGATCTAAATTATGGATAATATGATCATTTTCTAGTTTGTCAGAGCTTTTTCGTTGTGGAATTGTAGAAGGAGGCGCCTAAGTGCAGACAGTTTTGCAGCAGTCTAAATGTTGAGTCTCTTTGCATCACTAAACACGCTGAAAGTCAGCTGTACCAGGAGCATTGGAATCATTTGGTTGCCATTAGCTCTGCAAATATCCCAAAATAGGTGTTTACCTATGTTCCTACAAGAAACGGAAAAGAATTGCTTTTCAAGGACACTTGCTAAAATGATTATAATTAGCCTCTGGATTGCTTTTCCCACTGCCTTCCGATGCCTCGCCGGGTTCTCCCATACCACTGGGGAGCCTGGGACTAAAGCCCGCAGTTCCGCCGGCATACTATAAAGATAATCCAGTACTGGAACATCCTCAATCATCTCTCTCATTCTGTGCATGAAGATAAAAAAACCTGTGTGAAGCAATGCCCCCAGCCCCCTCAATATTTACCTGAGCCCCATCGCGAACCAGAGATGTGCATGACAGCCTTGGCTGTTCCGGGTCTCTGCCTTCTCATTAGCTGAGACAGCAAGCAGAAGCCATTGGCTCATTCTGCTGTCAATCACAGCCAGTCAGTCAATGAGAAGAGAGGGGGGCGGGCCAAGTCACAACTCCGTGTGTGTGTGTGTGTGAATGGACACACAGGGCAGTGGGTTCCCCATAGCCCGCTGCTTGCTGTGGGGCAATCCGACAGGAAGGAGGGACCAGGATAGCCTGCGGGAGACCTGAGAAGAGGATCCAGGCTGCTCTGTGCAAAACCACTGCACACAGTAGGAAAGTATAGACACGTTTGTTGTTTTCCAATAAAAAAAAAAAAAAACCTTTTTTAGATTCGCTTAAAAAAATAAAGACAGTATAAAAAATAAAACATTTTAAGGCTCCCTGTTCCCCTGTGCTTGCACACAAAAGTGAACATATACATGGCTCACATATGCATATGTAAAACTGTGTGCATACCACACATGAGGTATCGCTGTGAATATTATAGCAAGGGCAATAATTCTAGCACCAGACCTCCTGTGTAACTCTAAACTGGTAGCCTGTAAAGGCTTTTAAGGCGTTGCCTGTGGAGATTTTAAGTACCGTAGTTTGTCACTATTCCACAAGCAGTCGCAATTTTAATTAGGAGTCTATTTACTTGGCGTAACATCATCTTTTATATCTTACCCAACAATTGGACGTTCTATTGTGTTTTTGTGCATTAAAATTCATTAAGCTGTATTTTTGCAAAAAAAAAAAAAAAAAAAAAAAATTAATTTTGAAAAACCGCTGCGCAAATACTGTGTGACATAAAACATTGAAGCATCCACCATTTTATTCTCTAGGGCCTCTGTTTAAAAAAAATTATGTTTGGGGGTTAGAAGTAATTTTCTAGCAAAAAATGCTGATTTAGTTCATGTAGGAGAGACGTATCGGAAAAGGCTTGGAACTGAAGTGCCACCTTTTGTCTTTTTGGTGGAAGTAGGATATATAAATATCATTTGTCCCCAATTACATAGTTTGTAAGGTTGAATAAAGACACTGGTCTATCCAGTTCACCTGTGGGTGTGTGTTTATGTATCTCTTGCTGCCCAAGTCTATGAGCAGATCTGTCTCTGGTTATCTTGCTGTAGGCTTGCTTTGAAGAGATCTTCTTGTCTGTGCAGAATTCTGTCGACTTCTGTCCTTAGACTGCAAGACACTCAGTCCAGTATAATTAAATGAAGATGTGTGCTGGAATGGACCTTGAAATTCAGGGTCAGGGTGTGGTGGTAATACTTGGCACATGCATTTCTCTTAAGTGCCATTCTATCTTAAGACTTCTCCTTTATTTTTGTTTTTTTCTTTAACTATCTACTTGCAATATAGTAGTAGCGTTGGTACAAAGTTTTACCTGCCTAATAATAATACACTGTTATACATTAAACATATATTTTTTATTTTTAGAGCGTACTCATTCCATGTAAGTGCTGATGGGCAGATGCAGCCGGTCCCATTCCCTCCTGATGCTCTCATTGGCCCAGGAATCCCTCGACATGCACGGCAAATTAACACATTAAATCATGGGGAAGTGGTCTGTGCTGTAACAATCAGCAACCCCACAAGACACGTTTACACTGGTGGAAAGGGATGTGTCAAGGTCTGGGACATTAGTCACCCTGGAAATAAAAGCCCTGTTTCTCAGCTGGACTGCTTGGTAAGTGGAAAGAGGGTAAATGGTAAAGCTTGGTTTGCAGTAGGTTTTCTTTATGCATGTTAAGATGTTTTAAACTCAGGTCATTGTTTGTTGCTACATAGTTCTTAAAAATGTCTCTAGCAGTTGATCTGAATCCTGTTGTGATGTCCTTGACATAGACCTTCATGTATACTGTATGGTTACTGCCCAGCCTGGTACAGACAGCCATGGTAGGAATCAATGTGTTGGTAGATGCATGCCTTCACTGGTGTTGACTGTCATGTGCCTTCCCCTCTCCCCCTCCCTCCTCGCTCTCCCTCCCTCCTCTCTCTCTCCCCCCCCCCCTCCCTTTCTCCCCCCCCTCCTCTCTCTCTCCCCCCCCCCTCCTCTCTCTCTCCCCCCCCCTCCTCTCTCTCTCTCCCCCCCCCTCCTCTCTCTCTCTCCCTCCCCCTCCTCTCTCTCTCCCCCCTCCCTCCCCTCTCTCTCTCTCCCCCCCCTCCTCTCTCTCTCTCCCTCCCCCCCCTCTCTCTCTCTCCCCCCTCCCTCCTCTCTCTCTCCCCCCTCCCTCCTCTCTCTGTCTCCTCTCCCCTCCCCCCTCTCTCTCCCCCTCCCCTCCTCTCTCTCCCTCCTCTCTCTCCTCCTCCTCTCTCCCCCCCCCTCTCTCTCTCTCTCCCCCCCCTCTCTCTCTCTCTCTCTCTCTCTCCCTCCCCAGTAGGCAACATAGGAGAAATGAGCCACTTCTAATTTAATTTTTACCAAAACCAGATACTTTAGATATTTTATTGGCAACACTAATAGGGGCACTAGAATTGACAGTAAAATATAATTCCCATTGCACACAGAGGCAAAATTCTGTCTGCTGAAGCCTCCTTTTCCTGCTGCCTACCCATCATCTTATCCTGTTGGGACAACCTGACCACCACGGGAATATTTCAATCATCACAGTAACTTCATTTTTTTTCAGCCTCTTTCTCCTTTAAGTTACTTTTTCCAAGCTTCAATATTTTAGTTTTATTTTAGAGACCCTGTTGCCAGACCATTTAAACAACAATCTCTCTGCTTGTTGTTATAATAATAATACAGGATTGATATAGCGCCAACAGTTTGCGGAGCTTTTTACAATATAAAGGGGGGCAGTGCCATTACAATAGTTATGAATATGATATATGATTACATGTGCATTGAATGCATTTTAGGTATGTTGTTTATCTGTAAAAGCCTTCCTTGTTTAGATATCCAGAAGGCCTGAGACAGCTGCTACGCTCCACTATCTTGTAATAATGATGTCCTCTTGGACGCAGAGCTGTCATCCAAGTGACTCTGTAGTTTTCCCCTGCACTCTTTCCTGGCAACTACTTAAAAGTTATGTATGGAGGTCATGGAAGGAGCAGAGGAGCTGGGCCAGCACAAAGAGTAATTAGAACTTTCCAAAAGAGGAGAGGGCTTTGGCATGCAAGGAGGGAGGGGGCGTGCTAGGTAAGTGGCTGTCCTTAGTCAGGTTTTCTAGCTAGTTTAAGGACACATTGCAAGTGAATAAAACAATTATGGAATAAAAATGCTGCAAGTAAGCATTTACAATACTTCATTTGTCTGTGCTGTAGCCAACAATTCTTTAAGTTGCTTTTTTTAAGCAAATATCTGAACAGATGTTTTCATTTTCTAACCTGCACTAGTAAATGATTACCTGGAGACTGGTTGCTGTGGGCCTTGCCTTCGTTATTTTTTGCCTTCTGGTTTTTACAGATTGTCCCAGAATATCCTATATTTTCTCACTTGGTATTAGTCATTCTGTCTTCCCCTCTGAACTGTTCGTCTTGCAAACAAGTTGTACAGTTGAGCTCTAAAAACTTTGGGTTGACATTATAACTTCACATTTTGATGCTAATTAAGATGAATTATCTCACAACACTAAATTTTCTAGATCCACTTTAAGTACTTGTCTAATGTCATGTAATTTTCTGGCATTACTTCACTTTATCATTGTCATAACTGCAAATGGCTCATTAAAATCAGGAGGGAATGTTTGTGCTTTTTAGAGCTTTCCAGTGTAGTGTTTAACCCATCACCCGTGAGAATCTTTAGCTGCAGCTTGTTTTTCTGGAAGTGCAAAGGATATTTTGAAATCTTCTTGCTCTTTTACAACTCATGTTTAGTCAAGTAAATCCATAAAACACTTGTATGTGAAAGTGACGACAGGCTTTGTAAATGCTGCTTATATAGTTTTTAACTAAAGTACCGATTTCACGTCTCGGTGCCTTTTGTCTCTGCAGAACAGAGATAACTACATCCGCTCCTGCAGATTACTCCCTGATGGGCGCACTCTCATTGTCGGAGGGGAAGCCAGCACGTTATCCATATGGGACCTGGCAGCTCCCACCCCGCGTATAAAAGCAGAGCTGACATCATCTGCTCCTGCTTGCTATGCTCTGGCTATCAGCCCTGACTCCAAGGTCTGCTTCTCCTGCTGTAGTGATGGCAACATTGCAGTGTGGGACTTACATAATCAGACTCTTGTAAGGTATGTACATCATTGCTCCATAAACTTTTAAAGGGGACAAACAAAGTTTGTTGAAGCATATCTTTTGAGTTTATAATTTAGATTTTTTTTCTTGAACATTATGTATTTTTATGTTTGATATGTTTTCCTATTTAATATTTTCATAACCTATGGCTTTGTAGAGTCTCTGATGGCTACATTTATACCAGGAAGTGAGTTAGCTTTCCTGCTACAAGACTGCTGAGATGCATTAAGCAGCATAGAAACTTTGTTTGCAGGCAGTGTGAAGAGAATATAGGTTTACAATGAAAGGGAAAAACCATAAACAGAATCCCTGTGGAGAACTACTAAGCAGGATATACAGCCATCATTTGTAATGAAAAAATATGGCTGTCCATATATGCTGTACTTGCATGATTATAAAATATACATCAAAGCATGCACATTTGTTAACATTTATATTTGTTGATCTTTTGCAAATGCATTGTAAGTAAATGGAGGCACACCAACCTTGTGCAGTACCATAAAAACGCTTTAAAAAGTAATAAAATGCCAATGTATTCGCAAAGGTACACAACATAGTGCATGTAACAGAACCAATCCCAGCACAGGAAACACATCCATCTTTAGGGGTACATCTGACACGTTTCAAGGGCAGAGCCATCTTCTTCAAAATAGGTCTTTCACATGCATACCAAAGAACTAAATTCTAAAACTAGATCTAGGCATTCCGTTTAAAATGAGTATTTGACTTGCCTTAACCACTTGCTGCCCAGCAGTTGAAAGTTTACTGCTGGCTGGCGGCTCCGCCGTTCCTCTGCAGTGTACCTGTACATTGTGGGAGAACTTCCGGGTTTACAGGCGCCCACCCCCCCCTTCAGCTCGTACTGTGATTGGACACAGCACAAGTTTTTCAGCAGGCTTACAGCCAATGATTTTGGCTGTGAACCTGCTGACAGCTGTGGCCAACCACAGCACAGAGATCAGTGTGTCAATAAACATAGATCTGGCTGGTTCTGCTCTCTGATCATACTTACTGTTCAGCGCTGAGATCATGGGGAAAAGCCAGTCAGTCTTTGAGTAAAATCAGCACACATACATTTGTTAGACACACAGTTAACCCCTTGATTATTCTGATCACCTCTGTCACCCAGCCAGTGTCATTAGTACAGTGTTCTCACTGAATTAGTGTCACTAGCGACGTCAGTTAATGTGCCTCCCAGCCAGTGTCAGTTAGCACCAGTCCCTGCCACACTATCAGTCACACTGTAAGTCGCTGACCACCACCATTCCTAGAATAGTGTATGTTCAGATCAGTATCATAGTCATGGTCCGAACTATACTAGTGTTCCCAAAAACAGTGCTAAATGTGGAGGTTTTTTTATTTTTACCAAAGACCTGTATCAGAATACATTTTGGCCTAATATTTTGTAAAGAAATTACATTTTATTTGATGCTTTTTAAAATTAAGTAGAAAATATATATATTTTTTTTTTTCAGTTTATATAATATAAAATAAAAAAAACCCAGTGATGATCAAAGTCCACCAAATGAAAGCTCTGTTTGTATGAAAAAGATTATATACATTTCATTTAGGTACAGCGTTGCATGACTGAGCAATTGCCAGTTAATGTAGAACAGTGCTGGATAGCAAAAAATGGCTTGGTCATGAAGGGTGTAAAACCTGGAGGTCAGGTGGTTAATGTGAGCCACTCTGATCCTAAAACCTGTTTAGTAGTTTGACAATTGGCAATCAGTGTTAGTTTGTTATTTGCATGTACCTGTGTTCATCTTTATTTCCGTTTTATGTGCACCTGAAAAGGCCCCTAGATCAGTAGTGGTCAACTTGAATATTATAGAGTGCCTCCTGTGCAGCTACCAACATGTCAAAAGGCTACATGATAGCGGACCACCAACACTTTAGAGGGCTGCACAATAGCAGTGTGTTTTTTATGTGTTGAGGTGCATTGCGTGTAGTATGGCAGCCCCTTCAAAATGAATGAGCAGCAGTGCAATTCATTGCCTGAAAATTTTAGTCCTGCTGCATTTTTTTCAGCCTGAAATAGTGCACATTGTAGAAAAAAGTTGGGAGTAAAGTAAGCACCATCATTGGCTTCAGTAATCAAAAAAAAATAACCCACAGCAGTCATGCCAGTGACCACAATAATAACCCCCAGCTTTGCTGTCAGTGGCAGTATAGTTAACCCCACACCCACCCACACTCTGGTTAGTAACAGTTAAGTTAACCCACTCTGCACCGATGCTCACTGGCAAGGTTATTTAGCTCCTGTGCTATAGTGCAGCTGCACAGTGTGCAGTGATAGTGTTTTTTACTTATGGATTCTCCATCCTAACCATTTCCTGAACATCTGCAATCTGTTGTTGGCAAGCTTAGGAGTTTGTTTTGTGAGATAATTTACCTGGGCCTATGTATAGTGTATTGGCTTTACCTGTAATGTACTTGTGCAAGTTTCATTCTGTGATATGCATTCTGTCATACTAAACTAACAATGACATGAATGTCTTCTCTCTGTGCAGCAGCACTGCCTTTCAATGTGTGCATTGTGATCCATCTATAAAACATGTCACTGTGTTGTGGTGCTCTATTCAGTCTTTTTTTTTTTTTTTTTCCCTTTATATCTCAGGGCCAATGTATCAAGCATTATCTTCAAAGTACCTTGTGCTTCTATCTTGTGACCTCAATGGCAGCAGTAACTTATCTAAAGTCTACAACATTTCCGGCCTTTTTTTATATATTTTTTTTTTTTCCTCCTATGCTTTGCAGGCTGGAGGCAATATCTATCTGAAATCTATCAATGAACTTGATAACTATTGTTTGTGTCAGTTGTCATTGGTTTTGAGCAGTTATCTTGAAAGAAAGTATATTCACTGTAAATGAGTTTGGACACAGATTCCAACATGGAAAAAGATCTTGCTTGTCATGTAGTGGGTTTCAATTCTTGATAAAAGCAGTTAAAGGCATTTGTCTCTTGGACACTCCAGCCTCTTCCTTCTGTCCTGCTCTTCTCAGTAGTTGACAGTCTTTCATTTCTAATTCTAAGTAGCACTTGGACACAATGTACCCAATAGGGGAATGCATTTAATTTTTTAAAAGATAATATTTTTACTATAGATAAACGTAGTTTGATTTTTCTTTATATCAGAGCATTCCAACATTATTTTTTTTTAAATTGGTAATGTGCTTTAATGGCTAAGTTCACCTTTTGAAAAAAATAAATGCACATTTTTTTGCAAGTATCGCAGAGCCCAGCACGGCTGTGCTGTTTTCAAATTGTGACAGCGGGTGTGGGCGAAGGATCCCCCATCCACTGTAATGGGGGGTGGGGGGAATGGGGAGGGGGAAATCTGCAGAAGTGTAGGAAACACAAAATTTCGGTAAACAATACACTAAAGTTAATTGGTGTACACAGATGCAATAAATTACCCAATTTTTTGGCAAAACTAAAAGATGTTGCACCGAATAAATAGATACCCAACATGTCAAACCTTAAATTTGCATGCTCCTGTGAAATGGTGACAAACTTAAATACCCTATATTTTTCATAGGTGACACATTAAAAGGCCCCGATAGGTCATCAGTTTAGCTTTATGAAGGAGGTCTGGTGCTAGAAATACTGCTCTCTCACTGGTGGGTGTGGCAGGAAGTCAGCTTGTCAGATTCACACACAAACCTGGTGGCTGCAGCCAAGAGTGTGTGTAAACCCCCCCCATGTTGGGTTTTCAAAGTTTTTCTTTTGTTACTTTCAAAAGCAGCTACATCCTGAGCAGAAAAGCCTGTTGTTCCCTGCTAGTATGTGAAAGAAAGGACCTTTGCTCTCTGTGTGTAAACTGTGTTCTCTCTGTTGAGGTTTGACATGCCCTCTACTGAGTCAGACCTAGAGTTCCCCAGTCAATGGGGAGCATGAACTTTGCTAATGGGAAAGCTATGACTCAGCAGGAGGTAATGTAAGACCTTTGCAACTACTTCCCAGAGAGCAAGAGTCCTTCTCTGTACCATGTTGGCAGGCTTTTTTTTTTATTCAGGCTGTGGCTGCTTCCTGAATAAAATGAACTGTAAGACATTGCACACCTTTTTTTATTTTTAATGTACCTGGAATGTATGCAGCTGCTTTAATCTGAAAGTCCAGTTGGGCTTTAAAGAAGAAATCTCACAAACAATTTTATAGTTTAAATTATTTACTGTAACCCTAAACTCAGGTTTAAAAAAAAAAATTTGTTCAAATATGCATTCTTGACTCAGAATAAGTTTTTATTGCTTTACTTCATACCTTTACTTCTCAGCTTAGTCCTTGACCTGATCATGTTTGAGGGAGGTTATAGTGGCCTGTTAGGATCTCCCCTGGATGGTGCCCTACAGCTTAGCGCCTGAGGGGGGTCACAGGCTTTTTTTTATATCATTATATTATCATTATACCCTGCTCTGGACTACGTGTTCTATATATGACTATATGTTCAGGAGCAGCTGTTGTTGTGATCTTTATGTTTTGGTGTTTAGTGTATGAGGGAAGTTTTGTTACTTTCCATGCATCCATCCCTGTATTACACTAATACTTTCATCATTCTCATTGTATGATTGGTCTGGTGCTGGTTTAATCCTGGCGCTTATGCCTGGTCAAGTCTGGGTATAGGAGTTTTTTGTTATTTATGCATTTTTTTCTTGCCTAGAACATGTTATAGCTTACCAATGAGTCATCCATACAGTTATCTTTCAACTAATGAGTTTTCCCCAGATGGGGATTTACCTACTTGGGGCCTGTGGCGTGTGGTACTATTTTTTGTGTTTTTGTTTTATACTGTTAATTTTGTCTGTGTTCATAAAGACGTTTTCATTCGCCATTGATCACCCTCTCCTTTTGTGTGAATTATTTCTCTTGAGTATTTACAAATTCCCCATTCTGGTTGAGTCCAAAACTAGTCGTTTTTTCTGTTAGTTTCACGTTGTTATTGCTTCCAACCATCTCCAAATCTTCATATTTATGGGGGGTTTTTTTCGGCTGCTG